AGGATGTCTTTGCGAAACCCGTTCTTCTAACCCTCATAATTACCAGGTATCAGGTAACTTTGCAGAACGGCTCTCCTATCACAACCTTCTCTGAAAAGAAACTCGGACCCTAGCTATTTCTTGCATCTCATGCACTTCCCAAGCCTAAGATGTTTCCATATCACGTGGCTATCAGCTCGCTGGTCAGTCCCTGTCCCTCTTTGTACGGTATCTCGTCCTCTCCTACAGCCTCTTACAGTACAGCTTGACTTTTGATGTAAGCTAACATATTTTTAGTTTCCAATACAAGATGCTGTTTGCAAGCCAATTTTCCTTAATGTTCAGATGTCACAATGTCAGCTTAAAAAAATGAGAAGGGGGAGGGAGGGAGGAAGGGGGGGGGGGGGAAGGGTAATAGTATACTGAGAATCTTTCTGTAACATTTCAGCTCAAAAGCCCATATATTTTTTCCGCTTAATGATCTTGAGAAGTCCTGCATTTGATCTGGGGTGGAACAGATGTGTTGTGTCACCTCTACTGTTTATCACAGTAACGTTCGTGGCGTAGGCGTTGCGAGTCCGACTCGTAATTCCAACGTACCGCGATCGAAACCCACTGCTGGCTGCGTGGATTTTTATTATGGTAAGGGACGACGCAGGTCGACACAGCTTAAAATTGGTACCAGGATGGCTGTCCTGGGGAAGTAAAAAAGGCCGGTGTAATGCTCCATTACCCATCTTGTGCCGATGGTCTGTAAAAATATGGGCGCTCTTCCCATATTTTCCGATACGCCTAATGGCGTGAAAAGGGATCTTTATTTTTTACTTACTGTTTATCACATACATCGACCTCATATGCAAATCATCCCCCCGTGTGGGTTCCGGGGTCCCATTGTGGGGAAAACAAGAATAGACCCACTGCCTTCCCAAAGGCATGTCGTAAGAGTCGACTAATTGGGGAGCTTCCTTTGAAGTCGGAGTGCATCTGCCGGGGAGGCAAGGAACCAACAGTCTGTATTCTCAAGAGAATGAGATCTGTAAAACTGATGCACATGCAACACTCAGGTTTTGGAGCAGGACTGCAGTTCAGTAGTGGACGAGCAACCAGAACTTTCCACCAGAGTGTACAGCTGGTGAACGCGAAGAAGAAGAAGATATGCAAATCAGCTAACTCCAGCGAAATAACGATTATTAAAGTGCGACACTGGAGGATTACTAAATGAATTGCTTTTCGCCTATGACCAGGTAATCATAGCACCACCAGTAGTACAGTAAACAAAAACACATTAATAGACTCCATACCACCGTTCCCGTCATGCCACCATGACATGTAACATGGCCAAGATACCTGAGCTTTCGGGACAACATGCTGTTTATGATCCATTTCTCCTCGATGTTTTTTTTTTTCTTTTAGTATCTAGAAACCCTGAGTTGTGAGTTGTAAACCTATTGGCTCGGTACTATGGATATCGCAACCTTTCGGCCTTGATTCCATGATAAATACCGTAAATCTGGGAGAAATGTGGCCTTTCTGTCTACCTCCGGGCGTGAACCCGGACCACAAGGAGTTCGTCACCCTGCCGCCGCGCATAGGGTTTTAACCAACTGCGCTAGGGAGCCGGGCCACCTTGGTGTTTATATCATATAGATTGTCGGTGTTGCTCTTCGTCTTGGGTCATGGCATTATAACAAGGTTTTTTTCGGTAGCACTTCAGTTTAAAACATCCAAGTTTTATCTTTAAAAAAATGAGTGAGATCACATGACTCATATCCACAAGTTTGTCAAGTTTACAAAAGATATTTAAGTCTATTCTTGAATAGTGTACAATTGGCACATAAATCAGTACATTATTACTCGCAAAGGACTGCATGTTATATTCGTCTGATGAAAAGTCTACAAAACATATTTCATTCTATTCTTGAGAAGTGTACAATAGACACATAAATCTGTACATTATCACTCGCACAAAACTCTTCTTTCTAAGCTCCAGATGGGATGATTTATCGCATAAATGTTCGTCCTCTTATTAAAATGCATCTTTGTCCTGCCCTGCTCTGTTCTTCATCTCTGTGATAGTCTTCCGTCTTTTCAACGTGCCTAGATATTTATTTTTGTGTACTTTATTTCTGTAATGTTGAATACATTACATCATGAAAAGATGTTACACTGTTTATTGTGATGTTTAGAGAATTTGTCAGTTTCAGAATAATGTTCACTGTAAATTGTCGCTAGCTCCGTAACGAGACGATGGTGGCGTTACTGGCAAAACTCTGGAGGCATTTGGTCGAACTTGAAGAAGGCGTTTTCCCCAGGTGGCGGTGGCAAACAGCAGGATGGGAACGCTGACACAGTTTAGGAACAGTCCACTGACCACACTGTGGGGGAGACAATGGTAACCAAATAAAGGGGTGTTTTTTTTAAAACTGCTGTTAGAGAGATGATTTTATTTAAAAAAGTAAAAAGTAAAAAATAAATGGATGCTTCTTCAAATGTTGTGTCAAATACTTATAAATAGGTTATTTCTTACAAAAAGACAATTAGATAACAGTTGAAATACGGATGGAATTTATCCGAGGTGATGACAAATGGATGTTTTCCGCACACACACATACACACGCACACACACACCAACACAGTCTCTTTCTCACACACACACACACTAACACACTCTTACACACACACTCTCTCTTTCACACACACACACACACACACGCACATACTAACACACACATATACTCTTTTTTTACACATGCTCACAAATGCACACACACACACACACACACACACACACACACACACACACACACAGGGTATCTCCAGTAAAAAACATTTACTCTTTGTCAACCCCCTCACTGACGAACATTTTGTTTTCGTTAGAGATCCAAATATGATTCACCAAAGGTAGACTCGCTATTAAAGTTTGAGGAAATAAGATTCATCATAAAGTGCCATCGGAAGTGTGAGCATGTTACAGAAGTGCAAAGAACATTTAACATTTTCTTAGCACTTCCGTGACATTCTCACACTTCGGATAGCATTTTATGACAAATTGTCTTTCCTCAGTTCATTCTTTTAATCGCGAGCGTAATATTATTGACATATATTTTGATCTTGTAACAAAAAAAGAAAGTATATGAGTGAGTGGTCGATAAAGAGTGGGTATATTTTTTTTTTTTTGGGGGGGGGGGGGGAACACCCTGTGTGTGTGTAACCGTGCGCATGTGCGTATGCGCGCGCGCGCGTGTGTGTGTACATATATACAGTATTATTTATTGCAGCAACTGTAGTCTAAACAGTAATTGTTATTGTAAAGATACAAAGTAACACACGTACCATATCTACGACTCTGACAATGCCATGGGAGAAGACGATAGCGTTTGGAGGCGTTGCTACGGGCAACATGAACGCGAAGGATGTGGTAATGGCGGCGGGAAACATCAGAAACAACGGATTCAGCTGCAGACTAATGGCCTGTGGAAGAGAAAAACTGTCAATGCCTTCAACAAACAAACAAACAAACAAACACAGAAACAAACAAACACACAAATTGGGTTCTTTTCTGTTTAGCGACCACATCACGACTGATTTAGCAACATCCCATGTTATAGGGGTTGACGGTTAGGGTTAGTAGTAGTCGCCATTCATTTAACACTAAACCTAACATCAACCCGCCCCCCCCCTCCCCCATAGTATGGGGTGTACCTAAATCACGCGTGATGTGGTCGCTAAACAGAAAAGAACCAACAAATGTTTATTCTGTTTAATATGAACAGTGTAACGCACAACAAAATCTCCATGTTGCTAAATATGTGTGTTGCTGTTTTAATCATACTTTTGTATAAACTGTTTCCCTTCCAGCCTACAATTAAACTTCTGTAATTCCGAGAACATCTATTTAAAGTAGTCAATGTTGAATTCTGTGGATCAGGCGTTGCGAACGCGCTTCGTAATGCCGGAGTGACAGGTTCAATCCCAGCTGCAGGCCTTGGGTTGGTTTTGACAGTGGTATCAGGGGTCCGACCTATATTTACCTAAATCTGCCTAGAAAAACCACAACAGCCAAAAAATGCTGGGATTGGTTCTTCAACTGACACAAACGGTCATGACATGATTTTTAACCGACACAAATTGTCATGTCAGGATTTACAGCTGACACAAACTGTCATGACAGGAGTTACAACTGACACAGACTGTCATGACAGGAGTTACAACTGACACAAACTGTCATGACAGGAGTTACAACTGACACAGACTGTCATGACAGGAGTTACAACTGACACAGACTGTCGTGACAGGATACACAAACTGCCATGACAGGAGTTACAACTGACACAGACTGTCATGACAGGAGTTACAACTGACACAAACTGTCATGACAGGAGTTACAACTGACACAGACTGTCATGACAGGAGTTACAACTGACACAGACTGTCGCGGCAGGATTTACAATTAAAACGAACTTTCATGATCGGATTTATAACTGACATAAGCTGTCCTGACAGGAATTACAATTGACGCAAACTGTCAAGATAGGATTTACAACTGACACAAACTGTCATGACAAGCGGTTATCCCCACTGAGGACAGGACTACAATTTACACCTGGCTGGTGTCACTGTTACCTGTGCCCTAATTATAATTTCTTTAGAGGTTAAGCAGGTATCTGAGATTTACCCTGTGGGTCTGCAATCCAGATTGAGAGTGCTTTTTTTTTTTTTTAAATCTTATGATCCTTAACTTTCGGGTAGAAGGACGAAAAGGGGTGGGGGGGGCAGCATGTGCACACACGATAAGTTCTACATCTGACAATTATATTATGATAAACCATGATCAATACACCAGGATCAAGACACCAAGATCAAGACACCAGGATCAAGACACCAGGATCAAGACACCAGGATCAAGACACCAGGATCAAGACACCAGGATCAAGACACCAGGATCAAGACACCAGGATCAAGACACCAGGATCAAGACACCAGGATCAAAACTCTGATCAAGTCCAGTCCAAGATACTGACCATCTGGGAGAGGATGGGCATCATGAGTGTGGCAATGGCCGTGTTACTGGTCACTTCAGTCAGGAAGGTGATGATGTAGCAGACAATCAACAGGATGACCCAGTGGTTGAGGTCACGGAACACCAGTAGTTGATCCCCCATCCATGCAGAAAGTCCAGAATCCTGGCAGGGAAACAAGATCTTGTATAATAAAGAGATAGAATTATACAGAACCTTAACAAAGACGACACAAACAGTAGATTGCACAACTTATGACATGGCGTATTTTGAGTATTTTGGTGTATCTGTTTAGAGCAAAATACACTAAAAATCGGTTAAAATAAAACCAATAACTATAATATAAAATCAGCCACACACAGTTTTACCAGAGCAATCGCATATTCACGACTAGGTCTTTCTACCCGGAAACGTCGACCAATCGCAGAGGACTTCGCTACGTGGAAGCCACAACAACAAATCGTTTCCGTCGAAATAAGTGCAAACAGGCGGCGTCCGTGGCTAAGACGTTGCGAGTCTGACTCGCAATCCAACGTACCGCGATCGAAACCTGCGTGGGCTGCGTGGATTTTTATCGTGGTATGGGACGTCGCAGGTCGACCCAGCCTCAAATGGGTACCAGGATGGGCTGTCCTGGGAAAGTAAAGACGGCCGGCGTAATGCTGACCACATTACCCACCGAGTGCCGATTGGTCTGTAAAAATATGGGTGCTCTTCCCATATGCCTGATGTGCCTAAAGACGTGTAAAGGGATCTTTACTTTCTTTTTACTAAGTGCAAACAGAAAGACACAGTAAAACATGTTATTTGAATGTAACATATTTTATAATTTACTCATTAAAAAGTTAGTTGCCTTAGTTTTACTTGACATTGCAGAACCGACCGCAGCATTTTTTAACTGTTGAGATTTTTATACGCAAATTTACGTCCAGTAGTTTGCCATTGCTCCTGGACGGTCGGCTTCTCGATAGCACTGGTGAAACCAACGCCCGGCGCAAGGCCCGCAGCTGGGATCGAACCCGGCACCCCGGCATTCCAAAGCGCGTTATCAACGCCTAAGCCGGAGACGCAATTTTGTTATTAGGATTTACTTGTTTGCTCATTTTTTTCCCCCTCGTAATTCTGGCTGTTGTGTGGAGCCGACGAGATGCATCAAGTATGCCAGACAATAAATCATGCACTCTATTTCATGTGCATTCTTTGCTCAGATTTACAATGAGACATATGGTACCGGGTACCGGATCTTGTATGGGGTGGAGACACACATAAGGTATAAAATCTTTCATATGGGGGGGGGGGGGGGTGAGGACCTCCATGAAGTATGAGATCTTTAATGGTATGCGGGTGAAGACCTACATTAAGTAAAAGATCTTGTTTGAAAGGAAGACATACATAGTGTGCAAGTTCTCAAAACATCAAAAAACAACAACAACAAAAATAACAAGAACGAAAGGAGAGGGAATATACGAGCTAAAAGAGGGAGATAAACAGCTATGCGGGACATGATATTGTATAGGACCAGAGTAATAACGAAAGCAGACGTACTTCAAGGGAACATTTTAACAAGTTGAACTGAGTGGAGACCAAATATCGCAACACTTAGGACATTCGCATAAGCACTCTATCCTCATCTTCAGCAGCCAGCAAAGATTCTGATGGCAAAGTGACAGTCTTATTATATGCCAGTGTTCCCTTTCTTCTCGGTGTTGACTGTTGGCTGGTTTCCCTGCTCACTCCTTGCTACCCCATTCACATCAGGTCGTGATAATCTACCTGTTGGCAGGCTCCCAGATGCCCTCTACCGTATATAGCTCATCCTGCATCAATTTAACACCAGGTGGTGCAGAAACCTGCCAACATATCTGGATACCCCGGAGAGAAAGACAAATGAACAAGACACTGTGTACCCAGGATTTAGGAAGCGATGTTTGCCACTCTTATAATCCAAAGGGACAAATTTAGCAGCCAGACAATACGACAAGAACTTGAAACCCAGGCCTTGTAAACTCGAGTGGACCAGTGACAGTTACAATGGTTTGGACATGTATGCAGAATGTGAGAAACTCGGTTACCATGGCACGCAAGGGAGGTTAATAACCAGGCCTCCATGGCGACACAGTGGCTGCTGGGAAGACAACATCCGACAGTCCATGACTGACAGAAGAATGCAATAGAACAAAGCCAGAAAGAAAACTGTTGATAGAGAAGTCTGGCGATCTCTCTGGCAAAATATTACAAGGCTAGAAGACGATCGACTAAGTAAGTATAATCCATGAAAGTATTACCGTGGCAGCACGTGCAAGGGCGTAACCGCCTCCCAGGAGCAGATAGAGTGACCAAGGCATCTTTGTGTGGATGTGCTTCCAGGAGAGCAGTGGGCTGATTCGTTGGTAGGTCCCTGTGGACAAGAGTATAAGCTAGAATCTTTCTATTTTTTTTTAAATTCTAATGTCAAATGTAGTTTAGCGACTTAGAAAGAATGCCTTCTGATGCTATACCATTCAAGGCATAAACCAAAAGAGAAGTTGGACCAAGAACAAGATTGAGAGATAACATCAGAGAAACTCTACAGTACAACGATGTGCCTTTGGTCGAAGCAGCCAGAAAAACACGGGGCAGGACATTATATCTCCCTCGACACCCATAGCGGTAAAAGAGGACGTAAAGAAAAAAGAAGAATGTCAAATCAGCAAATGGAGAACAACCCAGACAATTACTAATAAACTACAAACATTAATAGACTAGTGGCTGCTCAGAAAAGAGGGCACATTATTGTATAATAGAATCACTAGTGTTGAGCTTTGGCGGAAAAGACGCTGTCTTTCAATGGGACATACATTGAGAAAACCTCAGAACAATACAAAGAGAATGTCTTTGCACTGGAACCCACATAATCATAGAAAAAGGGTCTAAAGCAAAGTTTAAAAAGATGGAGAGGACATGGGGTGGGCTGCATGCAATGGCGAAGTATAGAACGACAGTGACTTTGTTGAGGAGGACCTATGTTCCACGGGAAGAGAGAAGGCAGCAGAAAAAGAAAGAAAGAAAGAAAAGAAAGAAAGAAAGAAAGAAAGAAAGAAAGAAAGAAAGAAAGAAAGAAAGAAAGAAAGAAAGAAGAAAGAAAGAAAGAAAGAAAGAAAAGAAAGAAAGAAAGAAAGAAAGAAGAAAGAAAGAAAGAAAGAAAGAAAGAAAGAAAGAAAGAAAGAAAAAGAAAGAAAGAAAGAAAAAGAAGAGAAAGAAAGAAAGAAAGAAAGAAAGAAAGAAAGAAAGAAAGAAAGAAAGAAAGAAAGAAAGAAAGAAAGAAAGAAAGAAAGAGAAAAAGAAGAAGAAAAAGAAAAAGAAGAAGAAGGAAAAGAAAAAGAAGAAAAAGAAAAAGAAGAAGAAGAAAAAGAAAAAGAAGAAGAAGAAAAAGAAGAAGAAGACAAAAAAAGAAAAAGAAAAAGAAGAAGAAGAAGAAAAAGAAGAAGAAGAAAAAGAAGAAGAAAAAGAGGTTAGCACAGTGAAGAACGTTCTTCTTTTCTTAACGTTCACAGGCAGAAACTTCTGGTTGACTGTCTACTGCCGGACTTTGGTCTTGTCCAAGAATTGGAGTTTTGCGTGCACGTCCGTTTAACAGTTCTGGCTCAATAGTGCGCATAATTTTTATTCCTTACGACTAAGGCGAATGCACACCGACTTCGCAGGAAACACCCAAAATTAACGACAACCACCATCACCACCAACACTACCCCTACTGCTGCTACAGCTAGTGCTTTTACTACTACTACTACTACTACTACTACTACTACTACTACTACTACTACTACTACTACTACTACTACTACTACTACTACTACTACTACTACTACTACTACTACTTCTACTAGTACCACCACCAACACTACTACTATCGCTACCACTACTACCACGACCACTGCCATCACTACCACTACTAATACTACTACTACCATTGCTACGACTACGATCACAACCACCACCACCACTACTCCCCCTCCTCCTCAACCTACTACTACCACTACTACTACTACTAATACTACTACTACTACTACTACTACTACTACTACTACAACTACTACTACTACTACTACTACTACTACTACTACTACTACTACTACTACTACTACTACTACTACTCCTCTTCTTCCTCTTCTTCTTCTTCTGTTTCTTTTTCTTTTCCTACCCCTTTCCCCCACCAGAATACCAAGGTTGGTTTACCTCGTATAAACTTGACTAAAACAGGACGTTGCAAAACCAACCCCAGAATGTTTTGGCTGTTGTGGTTTTTCTAGGCACATTTTACACCCGGTAGTATATACTTGACTACAGCTAAACTAATCGATACATTGTCTGTGACTTACCTAATGAGTTAAACCTATTGATACCTTACTTACAACTTACCAGATGAATGACACCTGTTGGTGATAGACGATGGGAAAGATGACGGAAGTACAAACATCAGAATGCCAAACAGTAGCGAGGGCGTTGAGTCACTGACGTACCTGAGGTGGGTAAATTACATTGGCTGAACTGATACAGTGGAACATCGGTTTCAGCAATCGCATTTGTACTTAAAGGTTTTTCGTAAATCGAGTTGTTCAAACACACACATCCACCAATCGCTCGAGCAAGACGTTGAACGCCCAAGCCCGCCTCGCCTGATCACGTCGCCCGCAAACTATCCATTCGTTGCCTGATTTTCGATAGCTAGCTACTGGACAGATTCGCTTGATATTCGGCTGTCTCAACTAAACTATCGGAGTCGGCTGCGGGTGGGTCATTAGCAGCCCGTGTACGCACCTAGCCAACGACAACTACCAGCAACAAAGATCTACAAGAATCAACAGAGGAAGGAACAACGCCCTAGGTAATTATAATTTACATTATAAACTTTCTAAACCGAAACCTAGGGAGTGCGTTTAACCTCTAAATAAATTCGAGAACTTTTATAATTACCGTAGAAAATGGACACTGCGCCCATTACGATTGAAACACCAGGATCACCAGCACAGAGGGCCGCTCCCCCGGGAGCCGACCCTTCAGTGGGGCCTGATGCCGCCTCGGTAGCGACGCAAGGACCCCCTCGCCAACGAAAGCAGCGGCAGCCTGAGACCAGCACTCCAGACATCATGCAGTGCTCGCGCTGCAATAGGGCGTGGCATACAGCTTCGTCCTGCCGCAGCAGCCTTTTGTGCAGATACTGTTCTGGTGCGCACGAATTCAAGGAGTGCCCGCTGGCTAAAATTGACACTAACTTCAAAAAACCGAACAGCAACCGCAAATGCTCAAACTGTTCCGGTGCGCACGGCGCGAGATACATGGGCTGCCCGTATCTCCAGCAGTGCAAGAGGACACTTAGAACCACCCGCGAAGCAGCTAGACAGAGATACGTGGCCCCCAGGTCCTCAGCAGCACCAAAGCAACCAAGTGGGAAGCCAGCACAACGGACATCAGACAGACTAACCGACAAGGCGATCACAGCCGCAAAGGACCCTCAAATCTCGCTACAAATTTCTGAAATTTTAGCTGAAATCAGAGCTCTCCGCAAAGAAAAGTCTGACGCCACCAACACCGACGCTGACAGAACGCTGTTGATAGACCTGATTTCGCAGATGCGTGACGAAATCAAAGCCCTGAAAGACGACAGACAAGATCAAGTCTCGCAGCAAACAAAGTGGCTAGCAGAGGCAGCACAAATGCAGAAAAACCTGACAGAAATGACACTAAAATTATAAACAGAAAAAGCTGCAGACGAGACCCGCCGACAAGAAGAAATGGAGGAGAGAAGAAAGGAAACCGAAGCACATAAGGAAGCCCGAGAGAGCACTTATAAAGAAGTCACCCTTATGATCCAGGCAAAAGCAGAAGCCGAAGCTGCAGTGCTGGCGGCAAGAACCGAGCGCGCCCTGCTAGAGAAAGAAAGAGAGGCCTCCAGCAAAGCTGTAACACAACTAATTACCAACAAAGCCGACAAAAGCACAGTTACCGAAGCGGTAATGACGCAGCACCACGAACAGATGACAGACCCTACTAGAAACGAGGTACCAAACAACGGAACACCTGTCAGGCAGCCAGCCACCCCACGCGTGAGCCAAAAAGCGGCAGCCGTTGTAACTTGTGAGGCCGACCTTCAAGCGATGCTGGAGGATTTCAACGAGCAGGTGGCTCCGCACAAGCTGGTGTATGACAGCGAATGCGGCAGTTACGCTATCGAATTTTCAGAGGAAGACGGAACACCCGAACGATTTAAAAGGTACGAAAGGGTTGGCCTACTCTGCATAGAGATAAACGCAGCCCTTAAACAACTCCGGGCGCCAAAGAATAAGCAGGGCAAAAACGGCACACCGAATAGAAGAGGCAACCGCCAATTCTAAGAGCCACAGAAAAGAGCCCACAAAACAAGCCGCCATCATTACGGACAGCCCAAAACAAACAACCGCCAACCGGACAGACAGTCGCCGTACCGGAGCCACTCCCACCCGCTCCGCCCCACTGGCAAATAACCACGTAATTACCATAGAGCTAACCAAAATCTTAACCTAGTTTATTTCCAGAAAAAGGAAGACAACGGAAAATACCACAGGCCACCCGACGCTCCGAAGCAGATAGCCGAGGGCATTGCACCTAAGGGGACCAGCACTTGGGAACTCCAGTCACCGTCATGCCACCCCACCCCACCCCACGTGTATGTTAACAAATGCCTTTCACTTTTATTTCAGACCAGGTGACCTCAGCCGACCAGGGTGGATCCTACCTCTATTTGTCACTCTCATTCTCCCGACCTAACTATCACATCTCCTCGCACATTCGAGCAAATTTGATCTCTCATTTGCAGTCTATCTTACCTCCACTACTTCTCCACACTCCGTGGGAAAAAAAAAATGGGCTGATCACAACAACAGACTGTGACGGCCCTGGTTGTCATGAAAAGGAACATTGTATAGAGGCGTTAAGACATGGTGTTTGTTTGGCTTTTTCCGGCGGCTTACAGATCGGAAACCAAGCAGCAATAGGGCACCAGCACAGCGACCAGCACGAGGCAAGCCAAGCACCAGCAACAGTCAGCTAGTACCCGTCAATATCACCGCAAAGAGATCTGGATCACACCAGAACCCAAAACCGCAAACACCTCAGCACAGCAAGGAAGCAAACAACCATAATATCAGGTGTGACTACACACCACAAATAAAAGGAAACCATATAAGACAGCTAAGGACCCTTCTTCGATATAGCAGGCCTCCGGGCGGCTGAAAGAGGATCAAATTTGGAATTTTTGTTGGACGAATTGGAATTGGAATTGGAGTTGTTCAAAATACAGAATTCATTCCCGCCCATACTAATTAATTCGTTAGTTTGCTGTAGGTGATTGCTCATACGTTTTAACTCCGATAACATCAGATGGAAGATGTATTTAGGATATACGTTTTAACTCCGATAACATCAGATGGAAGATGTACGTAGGATATTAAACGTAGAACAGCTCAGGCAAAGCCAGCATTTTACAAAATGAAGAATATTTGATGCAATCTTTCTTTGTCTCTTGAGACGAGAAAGAGAATTCTTGAAAGCTACGTAAATCCCTACTTGATATACGGAAGCAAATCATGGACAGTTGGTAGATTAGTGAAAAATTATTTAGAAGTTGCGGAGATGTATCAAAAGAGTAATGAAGACGTCTTGAAAGAAACTGATTCAGGAAGAGAACTGATTACCCACATCAGAAAGAGACAATCTTTATACTTTGGTCATGTGATAAGAAGGAGAAAACTGGAGTACATCAATACATTAGGAAAGCTGGAAGGGAGGAGAGGCAGAGAAAGACTGAGAGAAAAGACGCTGGACAGTTTAACATCATAGCATGGAGGATCATCTGTGGCAGAATTGATTGAAAGTACACGAGACAGGAGGTTGTGGACACACATGACTGCCAAAGCCACATGGCATAGGCGTTAAAAAGAAAAACAAAGAGTCAAATTTACAACTGTATTTATAAAATGCAAAAATAAAGAAGAAAAGGGGATGAGGGGGTGGGGGGGGGGGGGGGAGAAATAAAATAATTAGATTAATTGTCGAGGAAAACAAATTCAAATCTTTCAAAACCTGTGTAAAAAAGAGTTTAGGTGATAAAATTCAGCAGTGTTTTCCCTCTCTTTCTGGAGGTGTCCCAGACACGAGATTCCGATCAGTTAAACAGAATGTCCCCTTGGTGTTGGGACTGAGGTTCCTTTTCTAGTTTCAATCGCTGATAAAGACTTGGGTCGAAATATTTGTTTGTATCTGCGCGAAACTGTTTTCTTCTCACCTCCCCTCGCCCCGTCCCATTTCTTGTCTAGCTTTGTAATTGAAAGTTTGCATTAGTTTATTTAATGCTCAATAAAACGCAGGAGGCGCCCCCAGAACTAAGGCTTTTTGTTTTTGTTTTTGGAGGTATGATACGATAGTCAGTTTTTTTAAAAAAAATCACCCTTAATTGTGTATTCTTTACAGGACGTTGCAGAACCAATCCCATAATTTTTTGGCTGTTGCGGTTTTTCTAGGCAAATTTTCCGTTTGCCACTACTTACTGAATGGTGAGCTCTCGGTACCAGTGTCGAAACCAACGCAAGACATATTGTCCGCAGCGGCGTTCGTAGCCAGCTACCCCAGCATTACGAAACGTGTTCGCAACGCCTAAGTTACGGACGCCGATACGATAGCCAGTACCAACCAGTTTTTAGGTATCATTTCTTGTCAGTGACACTGTAATAGAAACTGTGTTGAGTATTAACATCTTATTAGACACTTTATGGTAAGCATTGCCAACTATTTTCCCTAGAGAAGAAAGTCCTTATCAGAACACTGGGAAATTTAGAGAAGTAAAATCAAACTGAAATTTCTACCTTGAGGACAGATTTGTTAACTTCAAAATTAATAAATACTTGTGTAAGGACTAGAAAGCAGGGGAAAAGGGACACCAAAAAGAGAGGAGTGGGGGGGGGGGGGGGGTAATCTCGTGCCTGAGCTAACAAGTTCCAGCGCCCATGAGTCAGAGCACACGGGCGTTATATTATGATCTCCCTCACTCTCGCTCGCTCTTTCTCTCTCTCTCTTTTTCTCTCTTTCTTTCTATCTTGACCGCTCCCTGCTGATATTTATATAACGATTTTAGTTTAAATAGTATATAGACGAGGAGGGAGTTTCCCAGTGTTTGTCAATTTTCTTGTGTTCCAACATTCCACCTGACACATAATTAATTTCGGTTTTTTTCATTTTTTTTGTTCCATCTCGGGACTCCAAAATTTCGCGTGTGGAGTTCCCGGGAAAGTCTAATGTTATAGGGATGATAGGATGTGAAATTATCACCGACTAACACCAACCCTAACCTCCCCCCTCCCCAATTACAATAGACTTTCCCGGAAACTCCCCATGAAATCTCTGAGTACCCGAGATGGAGTGAAATAAAATAAAAGAACCATTTCCGAGGTATTATATAGATGTTAATCAATGTCAATACCTTATTTACATAACAAAATTAACCACTGAATCAACAAGAAAACAAGAAGAACGAGAGATTACCCTCCAGGAAACAAGCTGTTCCATCCTCCGACCCCACCTAGGTCTCGGGTCACCCAGGTAATGATTAAGGTCACGAAGCAGACGATCACAGAACCTTGAGCATACCTGTGGGGAGGGGAGCGGAAAGTTCAGTGCATCGAATCGCAGTCATGCGACACACGCGTGCCTACACTGGCGGCCTATTTATGTCTGGTATTAAATTCACAACATGAGAGAGAAGATGCATAACAAATGCAGTGGTTAACAAACAAGAAGAGATAAGAGTTGCCAAGAACTGAAGAACTCAGAACAATATTAGGCACAGCAGCGGTAAATGATTTCACAGAACATTAAAAAATCAAATGGTTCGGTCATCTGGTCAGTATGGAACAAAATCAGACAGCGATTAGGGCAGTATAGGCGTGTCAAGTAATTTTTAAAAAGAGTACATTTCTACTTTTAAAAATTCCTTACAATAATTTGGCTTGGCCTGATTCGTTTGAAAAAAAAACATCATCATGATCAATCAGCATCTCTTAAGGGAGAGCTTTAGGTTATAATTGTGACAAGATTATGTGCGCCATATAATGTGGCTTAGCATTGCACGTCACCAAGAGCCCTAGAAAGGTTTCCTGCAATGTTGATGTGATCAAAGGAGACTGACCCAATTACTGTCCCTACCGGCGACGAAGTCGTCTACCTGAGAGCCAGTGGGCGACCCTTTCAGTTTTCCTTCCATTTCATTATAAATTTAAAATCTATTACACAATTTGTTAAAGACGTTTATAATTTCTTGTACATCTACTTTTGAAGATCTATGAGTAATTAATTTAACATCTGCATTAAGTTAAAGGTTAAAAACACATTATTCCCTTTTTTTATCCTATTTTGTTATTGTGAGGAGGGCGTTGGGGTCGTGTTAGTCAGTTAGTAGACAGATTATTCTCATTGCACATCGAACCATTAAGTCCCTATGTGCTCGGATCCCCTCCTTAGTGAATCCCACAGCGTCTAGCGGCTGACGACAACAGTTCTCTGTTGGTTTCTTATTCGTCTTTGGCTTCCTGCATAGTGGTCTTGTCTGGCCAAACCTCTTTCAACATGTTTTTTTTTTTTTTTGGCCGTGTGGTCGTGGTTGCAGATTAACAACTTGGTTGTCGCAATCGTCTTACTTCTCAGAATGTCAGCATGGTTCACGGTTTGTTCGCTCTCCACAGTCTCTTTACCTGCAAGTCGATCAGCTTGTTCATTTCCTTGCACTCCTGCGTGCCTTGGCACAAATTTGAAACTGACATGAGTCAACCCTGACCGCTTTAGACTCAAGGGCAGTAAAGGCGGCCGGTGTGGTGCTGACCACATCACTCACCGAGTACCGTTTGGACTATTTACAAGGTAGGTCTAGATATATACACCCAATACGCCCGAATGCGTGGGAAAGGGTAGTTTTTACACGTACATTGGTAGACATCTAAAGCCTAAATAACTTACGTAACAGGACCCAGCTTTTGATATTCGTCCCTGATCTTTTCATTGACCTTTTGCACCTGGTCGCTGACAGATCTGGGGCCAAGACTACAACAGCTGCAGTTTCCTCTGACGATAATGATGCTGTCGTTAATTGCTGATAATGATGATGATGGTGGTGATAATGGCGACGATGATAATGATGGTAAAGAGAAAGACGGTGACTGATAATGGCTGTGGCAAAAGATAGGATGCTGATTGCAGTGACAAAGATGGGATGATAACGGCAGTGGCAAAGATGGGATGATAATGGCAGTGGCAAAGATGGGATGATAATGGCAGTGGCAAAGATGGGATGATAATGGCGGTAATAAAAAAGGTGATAATGGCAGTGATAAAATGGGATGATAATGGCTGTGATAAAATAGGTGATAATGGCAGTGATAAAAAAGGGATGATAATGGCAGTGATAAAAATGAGGTGATAATGGCAGTGATAAAAACAGTGTATCTTTCCCCCCCCCTCCCCACCCTTTTTCCACTTTTCTTACCCACTCCTCCTAGTGGGACCCCGAAACTCATGTATTGGAAGATGAAAAATTAAATTTTTGTAAATGCTACTTATCACTCACTTGCATCTGAGAAAGATTGTGACCATCCACAACCACATGACAACCACGAGTATCAGCGACAGAGGCAGCCCGTAAATCAACCAGGTGCTGAAACTGACTGGAGAGTGTAATCCCACGTCCTCGAACACCCTAGAAGAAAGCAAAAATAAACATAAAAGTGCTTGAGTTGACCAGTGGAGTGAATGTTAGATGAGCATCGGGCAGAAATATTGCCAGCTTAGTAATGACCTGGACAGTAAGGTACTTTGTAAGCATAGGATTAACTCTGCAACAACCGAACGACGTGGGGGAAAGATCCCGGTTGACTGGCCCGATATTAAAATCAATGCTTTCAAAGCTGAAGTAAGACCGATTAGGAGAATAGCTCGTGCAAGCAGAATAGTCACTCTGTTAAGCTCTCTTCTCCTTCTTCTATCTTTCTAACCGCCCAGTTGAGCAAATGCCCTCAACCAACTCACGCCAAGTCGTTATATCCTTCGCTATTGCATGCAACTCTACCCATGTCCACCCCATCTTTTTAACCTTACTGTTTAGCTCTCCATGTGGTCTTTTTTTTTCTTTCTCTACCCCTGTTGGTTTCAGTATACAGACATTCTAGTTATATTGTTATTAGGTTTTCTCAAATTGTGGCTTATCCAGATTCTCTAGTCAAATTAAATGTTGGCCGAAGTTCTAAATTCCAGCGACAGTATGAAGCGTCTCACGTGTGGATCGTTTGCAAAAAGGGACAGGAAATAAATAGACTCACTGGATGCATTATCGTGCCCCCGAGAATAGCTAGCTTCGAATATGTTGAGAAGTCGCCTTGAGAGGGGAGGGGAGGGGTGGGGGGGTGGGGGTGCAAAGACGCAACATGGCAGCTACTGCGTATCCTGTATAACAGCCAACAGAAGGCGACCAAGGATTGTGGCTAGGTGGTTAAATTCTGGCTCACTACTGGCCAACAGAAGGCAAGCTGGCGACCAGGGATTGGAGCTAGGTGGTTAGATTCTGGCTCACTACTGGCCAACAGAAGGCAAGCTGGCGACCGAGGGTTGTGGCGAGGTGGTGAGATTCTGGCTCACTCCTGGCCAACAGAAAGCAAGCTGGCGACCGAGGGTTGTGGCGAGGTGGTGAGATTCTGGCTCACTACTGGCCAACAGAAGGCAAGCTGGCGACCGAGGGTTGTGGCGAGGTGGTGAGATTCTGGCTCACTCCTGGCCAACAGAAAGCAAGCTAGCGACCGAGGGTTGTGGCGAGGTGGTTAGATTCTGGCTCACTACTGGCCAACAGAAGGCAAGCTAGCGACCGAGGGTTGTGGCGAGGTGGTGAGATTCTGGCTCACTCCTGGCCAACAGAAAGCAAGCTAGCGACCGAGGGTTGTGGCGAGGTGGTGAGGTTCTGGCTCACTCCTGGCCAACAGAAGGCAAGCTGGAGACCGAGGGTTGTGGCGAGGTGGTGAGGTTCTGGCTCACTCCTGGCCAACAGAAGGCAAGCTGGAGACCGAGGGTTGTGGCGAGGTGGTGAGGTTCTGGGCTCACTCCTGGCCAACAGAAGGCAAGCTGGAGACCGAGGGTTGTGGCGAGGTGGTGAGGTTCTGGCTCACTCCTGGCCAACAGAAGGCAAGCTGGAGACCGAGGGTTGTGGCGAGGTGGTGAGGTTCTGGCTCACTCCTGGCCAACAGAAGGCAAGCTGGAGACCGAGGGTTGTGGCGAGGTGGTGAGGTTCTGGCTCACTCCTGGCCAACAGAAGGCAAGCTGGCGACCGAGGGTTGTGGCGAGGTGGTGAGATTCTGGCTCACTCCTGGCCAACAGAAGGCAAGCTAGCGACCGAGGGTTGTGGCGAGGTGGTGAGATTCTGGCTCACCCCTGGTCAAGGTGTGTTTGATCTTAGGGCATAAAACGAGCCTATTCGCCTTTTTTTTCCTTAAACAATTTAAAGCAGGTAGACCACCTGCTTCAAATTCTGGGGGAACGAACGAACGAACAACTTTGATTTCCAGAGGGTTGAATTTGGCAGGAAGACCCGTCTAACATTCCACCCTTGAAGACTCCCTCCTTCTGTACACCAAGCTGTAGTAAACATTATCTACAGCATCCAAATATCTACTAAGCACTGGAATATGAACATTGCTGGCTACAGTATAAACTGTAGTAGTTGTAATAAATCTAGGGCAAATATGTGCTATTTCTTAAATATTTTTTATCTTCTATAGGAGCATGTAATTTTTGCTCCGATAATATTCAAACAGTTTCCGATTGTTTGTATAAGTACTTGTATTTTGTTTTTGTTTTTTGAAGATGATTACTCAATTCATTTGGCGTAGAACGCCAAACGTGTTTTGTTTTGGACAATACTAGTTTTATGGATGTGTAATATGTT